GCAGTCGGTGCACAAAGTGCTCCAAGCTCTCGGGGTCTTCTGCATAGAGGTATGGAAACTCAGCTAGATGCTCGTTGGAGTGTCAATGACGACGGACTTTGTTTTCAAGAGCTCAAAGATCATCGCGAGTCACCGTACAGCGATCGACCGAATCGTCATCGTCTATCGACGACTCTATTCGAAGAGAACGGAGGCGTCAACAATCACGTGGAACGCCTTGTGGGTCGACGTCGTCGACAGAGTTGAATCCAATATTTTGTGAAGTGGAGGGGATACCCAAACTCCGAGAAATCGTGGAACTTTGAGGTGCCACTTCGGCAAGACTGCCCAGACGTCGTGGACGCTTATGATCAAAGGGATCATGACGCTCCGCGTCGTTGTACACCCCGCGCTTCTCGGCAGTAGCCTGGGAAGCCGAAGGGCCATAAGCTGAGCTCAAGCTATGACCCCGAGCTGCTATAATCGTAGACTCACCCGTGTGAGAAACCACAGAGCTCGCAGGCCCGTGACGGATTATTCCATATGTCGCGACATATACGCAGGAAGTCGGTGTTGCGCTTTAAGTTTGGCAAACTGAAATCGAAGATGGCGTTCTACGCGCACATCCCCTTCCTTGTGGCTCTGCTGTAAGTTTGACAGTGAGGAAAATTCCGGTGCCGCTGCACCCATCGCTCTAAGAGCTCTTCGTCATCTGCAGCGGTTTCGCCAGGCGAGCAGTCCGGATTGCGGGTACCGGAGCGCCTCCTCTTTGAGCTCGAAGTCGAGCATACCGAAAAAGGAGCTCGCAGAGCTTTCCTCTGGTCAAGCTCAGCTTGTGTAGTGGCCGAGGGCCCAACTACGTAGACGCCATACGATCGAGTGATCGCGTCTTCGCTTCAGTAGCGGGAGCGGATGCCGTATTCACAAAAGGGTCTAGGACCGAACGTGGATACGAGCGCATGAGAATCGCCCTCTGTGCAGCCTTCAACTGCTGCTCTTGTGCTTCGTCGAGGCGATTGTTAATAATACCACTCTACTGGAAGTCGTGAGGTCGGGGAACGGACACGGGGTCCACAAGGTTCGAGCAGGGCTCACGTCACGCCGTTGGCGCACCTCGCCCTTCTCTTCTTCCCATCCCGGGAAATGAGTATCCGACTCGTAGTCGATTTCCTCCGAATCCTCGACAAAGAAACCCGTCGCACGTGGCGGGCGTGGTGTGTGGCGCCCGGTTGCCGAGGGCTTGGGATGTGCTTCCCGTGAAGTTGCGGACGTACTGTCCGGAGATGCACCGTGGGCAGAAGACGAAGAAGGGCTCTGCCCGCGGGCGCCCTCGGAACCAGTTAGGTTGGTGTTTTTCGTGTCATAGACACAGGGCCTATTGAGCAGAGAACGAGTAAAGATAATCCTAGGGATGTAACGGTGTCTCAGACACACAAGCCTCGTACGAGGCGACAGTTTAATGCGAATTATGGGTATTTACAATTTTGGCGGGGGAGAGTGTAGCGGGGTTCACGTACCCTGGTATGAAAGGGCGGGTCACACAAGATGGTGTGACCGTACAAAGGTGTGGATTACACAAGTAGGTATAATCACACCATGGTGTGGCTACACCGTAACAAGAAGCCACTACGTGGCGGGACTGCCAGTAGTTATGCATATTAATGAGGTCTTACTATTTAATCAGGAAACCTAACGTTTTAGATATAGGCGACTCTGCCAGAAATTAAAAAATAAATACAGCTTCAATTTTGAGAGAAAGAGTGTATTTGCCTGGGTTAAGGTTTTGGGTACTCTTGGAGGTACAGTAAAACCTGTCTAAATTAAACATGTTGGGACTGGGGGAAAGTGTTTAATGTAGAGAGGGTTTTAAATAAAGGAGGGTAGCATAAGTATGATGCCTAACATGAATCCATATCGTTTGATCAATTTATAAAGGGTTTTTAATTAAACAGGTTTAATTTAGACAGGTTCTACTGTAGCGGATCGCAATCCGCTACACTCGTACTGGATCTAGTATAATAGAACGTAAGGTTGGTGACCTTAGTAACCTTCCTCTAAGCAAAGAGCTACTGCAGCCCCGCTGCAGACGCAACTTAAGCAAATCAGTTATGCTCACAAGTCAGGCTTGTACATATGTGCTGGTAATTAAAATCACTACCTTACATAAGCCTGTGACAATCATCTTTAAATTCTACCAGCAGCCATATATATTTTTTCTGTATTTTGGAAGAAACATTTTGCAAAGAAGTTGCCTAGTAGGCTTGTATAGAGCATGCGTAATATTAACTGCCCACATTTTCATAATTATCAAATGCTGCAACTGCATACTTTTTTAGCCCAAAGTAAGATAATCCAGTTGTGGCCATTCGTCGTGCGGCGCAATGGAACACTTTTCCGACGGCCTTCTTGCCCACCTCTTCACTTTTCTATCCGCCAGGGACATTCTTCGACTTGTTGTCACCTGCCGATCATTATCTCCATCTACTCCATGTATCCAGCTTGCGCTCGAGCGCGTGATCAAGCGTCGCTTCGAAAACCTTACGGGCTTCTTGGAGACCTCATCCACTCACTGGCCTCGCTCACTTACAGTATTGCGAGGCGCAGAAGTGCTTTATATCAAGGATTTACTAGCACGCTCGACTGCTCAATCGTTCGAGGCCGTGGCCTCGTGCTCTCCGAATAGCGTTATTGTGAGCCGCGCGTGGCTTAGCGCCTTCAAAAAACGCTGCCAGGACTTTGAGCAGTTTTTGCTGCAGTTCCGCCGCACAAAACGAAAGCAGAGGCGGCAACACGCAGCAAAAAAAAAGGACAATATAATGTTCGAGGACGTTAAAGTTGCCGCTAATTCGTCGCTGATTGAGGCTGGAGCCATGATCGTTTGTGCGCACGATGCTCTGTTGCCAGCTGCTCAATGTGTAGGTCGCAGTCGACGTGCTATCATAAGAGGGGATGTATTTAGAGAAATTGTGGGTTTTGCTCCTGAACTCCGAGGCTATGTGCTGAAATCGTGTTGCGACTGTGCAATATGTGTGTTGGAACAAAAGGCGAAGGATCTGGAAGCTGAGAAAAAGAAGAGAAGTAGGTTTGATGCGGAGATTGCAGGTTCAAGGGACATGTTAGAGCTACTCGAGAGGAAAAATGGATTTCCAAAGGGTTTATTTTCACCCATTGGATCTGAGGACAGTAGACAGCAGCAATTAGCTCCTCATTTATCAGTTGGAAATAGAAGTAAGTACGCGACCTACTTCTTGGTCCCCAAGAATTGGCTCAACACGTGGAGAAAGTTTGTTCGAAGCCAGGGAGAAGATGCTCCTGGTCCAGTGCTAAATGCCGAGCTGGTTTGTTTGTCGCACCAGAAAACTATCGTCCCACCATACATCTCCATGTTTCTTTCGGGGTTCTCTCTAGAACAGTCAATCAGGGCGACGCAAGCGTATGTCAACTCTGTAATATGATTTGTGATTACTTCATATGCTGATGGTGTTATCGTTGTTATGGACATGAGTGAAGGCTTGGATCCACGTTCGCGCGCCAGTACGAGATCGTGACGTTTGGTGAGTGGGAAGCACTTTACGATCGGTATTGCGCTGAGTTTGCCATCGGCTTTGACGTAATTAATGGAGCGTATCACTGGCGGACACAAGAATGCCAGATATGCATATATGGGATGGGTGGTGGTCCATCATTGAAGCAGCCGAACTCACGACGGTGAAGAGGCTTGTACTTACTCAGGCTCAGGTTATTTATAAAGTAGTCGTCTTAAATTCCATCATCGGAATGCGGCACAGCTATAAGGGCCTCAAGGATGTTGCGATGCAAATGATAATAAACCATCTTAAGTTCTTTTAATATTTCTCCAAAACCAATACAATTACCAAGCTTACCATGGTGCATTAAGTTTGCCGCTCAAAATTGCTTCAACTTGTCAAACGATCCAGAGTGAAGGTCACTTCAAGTGCAGACATCTTGGTCACTTTTAATTTTGCCTATTCAAACACAAACAGATGAAGACCCACCGCGCTCACAAACGCAAGCTTCACTTCTCCGCGAAAGACTTTGCTTCACTGGTAACTGTCAAAGTGAATCATGTTCCACAGCGACCTCTAAAGCGACGCAAACGCCAGTCACGCTCGCGTCATGTCAGTCCAACATCCACTATCAATGGAAAAGGTCTGTCAGCAACCATCTGGAGCCAAATACAAGACCAATTTGCGGCAGCTAAGAGTCTGGGGGAAATGTACGTTTGCTAAATTCGCCAAGCCACAGATTGGTGCTGACCTGGATCAATGTTGCCTTCCAGAACGCGAATTGTGTTACACTTTTTCACAGAGCATGAGCATTTGCAAGGCTCATCCTCTGATGTAATATTTCCCATCTTTGTACCGTCCAGCGAAATTTATAAAATGAAGGGTACGCAATGCCTTTTTCATCCTGCTACCAGCGGCGTCGAGTGACATTTTTTGCTTAGTGCCAAGAAAAAGACGTATTTATGACGTACTTCACGTACTGGAAGGTACTGAAAAAACTTTGTTGGTGCTGAAATGGGGAACATATGACAACATGTGCAACTGCAGGAATTAGTGTCATCAAACGAGTTCGATACGACGAGAGGCGGGGGACTAACGGAGGCTACTTCTTGTACTATGGGAAGTCGTCGGTTGTGCAGCATTTGGCAGAAATGAAGAGCAGGTCGTCTCAGGTGATGGCGGAATTCCGACAGACACGTCATCTGCATTGTTGCAGCATTGTGGAAAAAGACAGCGCTCTCGTAAGTGTCTTCGAAAAGCAGGCAGCTGCTGACAAGTGGCCGTGCCTGGTAACAATGACAGTTTGCTTCCTGGGCTTGCTATTTCAGCAAGACTATAAAACAGGAGTAGGGTTACCTGCCATAAGTGCTCGTCTCGTTGATGCAAAGACGTTTATTGGTAGCTTGATACCGAGCGCATCGACGGAGGCACCCTATCGTGATGTACACCGCCGCGTGTACGATGTGGTGTCTGTGCTGGTGAGCTGCAACATAATAGACACTTCGCCCGTGCCTTGTTCAGAGTCTATCGACAAAGGTTTACGCAAATACGTTCGCTTTAACTACGAAATTTTTACGAATCCGAGGGTGCTGTTTGCTACTATCGACTCATTGAAGTACTGGAAATCCAAAAGTGTAAGCAGCTTGACATCTAGTGACGTCACGGCATGCTTCGGCGAACTCGAAAGCCCAAATGCGAAAAGTCTTAGAAATAACTGGCCTTCTCCTTCATTGGAATACTGGCAAAGCCTGCATGACGACCTAGCTCTGGCTAGCTCGACAGTATTCTCACCAATTTCTGTGAACGAGTCTGACGCCAGCAGAATTATGCAGCCGTCCGCGAACAGCAATTCAGCGGGCTTACGAGATGTTCCGGACCCGCAGTTGCCACCCAGTCTTCGTGTTATACTCCGACCAGCAAAACAGCCATCATGCCTTACCCAAAAGTTTTTCTCTCCCCTTGGAAAAATGACCACGATAAGCAATAAATGGAATGACGATTCGCTGAAGCATCTTGGGCTTCATGATGTCGTACCGGCTGTGGACAAAATTGACTGGAAATCGGACATGCAGCTGCAAGAAAACTGTTGCGAGATGTGGGGCTTGCAGCATTCACAAACAGCTCCAGCTGACATTTGTGAGCAGCAGCATCAATATTGGGTAGACGGGATAAACGTAAAGCTTACGGATCTTGAATGTAGCGATGTATTGGTAGATGACGACATTAATAGTACAAGCAGCTATTTCTGCTAATTCGAACAACTTAGAGAAAATGCAGACTGCATGCGCTACATCGATTTGCTGTTTCAATGTTTTTCTGATAATGTTGGCTTTGCACTGCATAATGCTAACATATCCGGGAATAATAGACCCAGGACCGCTACTGCTGAAAAGAACGTTTGTGATACTGGAAACAGCTCAATCCTCTTTGTGACGCTTTCTGTCTTCCCAATCCATATCCTTCGATCCCACCGTTTTCTTTTTTGATCAATCACTAGCTCTGCGCAAAGTTTCCACGCTTTTCTCCTTTGCAGCATGGGACTCAATCAGGATTTCAGCACGTAATTTGCAGTTACTGAAATGACCTTTAATTCTGGGATGGCTTTCGAATATTCAAGCGAATTGTGCAACCTCGACATGAGATTTCTTTACAATGCTGCCGATTGTTCGACTTGGTCGATGTGAATATGTGATTGATATCAAGCGAAATATCATACACTTGCGTTCTTTTGGTTGCGTCCCCTTCAAACAATATACGCCTGTGCCAGAAAATCATCACATTAACAGTGACTTCTTCAAATTGAATATAAAGCATATTAGCCTCAATCACATGCATCACGATGGCATTTAACGCGGCGAATAACATCAGGCATCACTCACGCCATCTCTTCCCACTCTTTGGAAACCCTGTCACCATATGGCTGGCAACAAAGGCTCGATGGTCAAATGCTTTTCGTCTCGTATCGGGCTTCCGTGACTTAAAACGTCGATCTCAGCCTCTTCGCATAGCAAGCTTTACATAAATTGATGCTTCAACAAGCATGCAATAGAGACCTTTCGCCGTTCAAGTGTTAAAAATGCCACAGTTTCACATTGGTCCACGTTCCTAAAATTGCGTAATTGAATTTGTCAAAAGACCAGAGCGCAACAGGAAAGATAAATTCTTTTCGGCTGTATAGTGCGGCGTTTATCAATGTGTGCTGAGGGATCACTCGTATTCTATATTGCGTCGTACTATCTTTCAGAAACTCGCCGATACAACAAAATTTTGTAGATGCTTTAAACCTTTTGGAGCTTTATTTAACTAAACAACAAAATGGATTGCAACATAATAATAACACATCATACTTACGCCACAAGCAAAAATTTAAGAGATGACACAATTGAAAAAAGTGTTGTCTTTCGCGACAGATATACGCCTCGCGGCGTTTACTCATAACTTTTGATCCCTGGCCAAAGCCATTTGGAAGTCACATCGAGAAAAAGCTGCATCGGACACATACTCTCTACCTTTTGCGGCTTTTGTTGATCTCAAGAATGATAGCTTGGAGTTCGATGCACTGTTCACGCATCAATTCCAGATCATATTTTAAATTGCGATTTTCGATCTTGAGCATCGAATTTTCATCTTCCAACGAAATGCCACTCGAGCTTGAAGTGCTCCCACTACCACTTCTTGGCTTCATGAAGCTCTTGGCACGGGCCGACAACTCATTTAATCGTTTGACGCTGCCGCGTCGACCTGAATGGGCCACTCGGAACGACTCCATACGGTCCACGACCGACCTACCGCGTCCTCCACGGATCGAAGCCGGGTCATTATCGAAATCATCGCCCATATCCGAGTCGTCTTCACCATGTACCCACTCCTCACCATCGTTGAACTCATCAGCTCGATAGTCGTCGTATTCAGGCTCGACAGGAATCATTTTGTACTTTTTCCAACCACGCTGAATTTTCCTGATTGCCCGGCGCTGAAAATGATACTCCTTAAAGTCCAATGACATTCGCGCGTATGATTGCAATACGATTGCAGCATTAATTTTGTTGCGCAAACGTCGGCGCTCCAAGAACCCAAGTGCAATCCGCTGGATTGTGCGCGCTTCGTAATACATAAAATCTGACTTCATAGCCTCCAACTCCTCCATTACTCCATTTTTAAAGTAAATCAATGATTTACCCATCTGATACTCTAGCGGCGATTTTCGACCGATCGAAGTCATAAACACACTGCACGTGCGGCGGACGTCTTTACTGTGCATAGATGGCGGGAACATGATAGCATAACGCGTTGCTAACTCAGCGGGGGTAAGACGACTTGGATAACCAGAGCGCGTGATTCGAATGGCTTCAATCACGCCAGCTGAACGCAATTGCTCTACGATCATGCGTTTATTAAACTCAGTCGAGCTCTTGTTCGAGTTAGGCTTGATGCAACGCACATAGTGCGAATTAGTCGTCCTGATGTTGTCCATCAATTGTGCCAGCGATGTCTTAAACTGTGAGCCAAGACTCTTAGGAGCTTTTTTGCCGCGCCCATTACTTTCCTCAGGAACTTCGGGGTCCTCGAAAAGCTCTGGAAGCAAAGGCAAACTGCTCAGTTGGATTAAATCAAGTAGGTCTTTCTGAAGCGTATCGCGATGTTTTTCCATAAACCCCACCGTCTCATATGTAACGGAACCTGCGTAGTGGTTGATAATGAATTGCGTACGCTTCACCTTAGGGAAGTCAATACTTTCGTTCACTTCGCCGCCCTTCTTTGTCTGGTGATTTGTTCGAATTTTGTTCACCAGAGCCTCCTCCGTATCTCGAGGCTGACGCAGATGGTCGTTCATGAGGGCAATAATTCCCATCTTGCCCTCAATGACCTCCACAATTCCCTGGTTATCCTGATACTTAATGTGATCCCACTGCAGGCCTTCGCGAATATACTCCTCCTCAACAGTTTTAAACACATCCGTTGTAAACTTCTGCTGCAGTTTTTCATTTGCATAGTTAATGCAAAACTGCTCGAAGCCATTATGAGCAAAATCCTCAAATCCAAAAATATCCAGCACACCGATTTGGCCCTTTATGCGGCGCTCATCTGTGCTTATAGCCCCATTAATTTTTCCCACCATCCAGTCAAACATCTTTGAATAGATAGTTTTAGCCAGTGCATCACGATTTTCAGCTGCTTCTACAGGGGACAAAGGGACTGTGACACTATCATTACGCGTAATGACAGTGCGGTTACACAGCGCTTCCTCGATACTCTTGGTTGGAAGGCCAAACATCTTGGCAGCTTGAGACAGTGCTGAGCCGCTTGATATGCGTGACCCACTCTCACCACTTTTGTCGAACAAGACTTCACCCAGTAGCAAAACACCAGCCAGAATTTTGAATAACGTTGTCTGCGCACCACCGTCCAGTCCGATTATAGACAGCGACTTCTGCGTGCTCGCAAACCACTTTGCATCATCCAGCCCTGGAATCTGCATTTCCGAAAGTGCACCAGCATACTGGTATTGACAGTCAGGGTCCAGACCAAATTCCTTGCGATCCTTTGCGGACAGACCAGCCAAAAGCTGATAAAATATATGGTAGTTGCGCTCACCTTCAGCGATAGATACCACACGTGACTTCTCCAGTAAATATGTCTCGCACTTGGCACCAATTAGTTTTCCTTGACTGTCAAATTGCAGCTGTGTAAACTTACCGAAACGCGAGCTGTTGTCATTTCGAGTCGTCTTTGCATTACCAAACGACTCAAGAAGCGGGTTGACGTCAATGACTTTCGCAATCGTCTTGTCCTTGCGACCACCCGCCACGCTAGCCAAGTGATTCATGACAATTTTAGTTGTTTCGGTCTTACCAGCACCAGATTCACCACTGACCAAGATACTCTGATTCATGGCATTAGTCTTCATATGCTTGAAAGCAGCAGTCGACGTTGAGTACACGTGAGGAGGCAGTGAGTCACGAGGTTTTTTTAAGTACTGCTCGTGCAAATGATCACCATATAGGTTATCAATCCACTTGTATGGATTTACTGCGATCACAATCTCGTTCGTGTATGTGTAAGGTTTTGAGGCGGTGAACCGTTGCTTCAAATTAAAAAGGATTGAAGGCTCGTTCAGGTATCGAAGAAGGCGCATGTCTTCTACACCCTCAGGGTTGTCGTGGAGAATGGCAATCGGTAGCGACTCCACTTCAGTAGCTGTGGGTCCTGCAACCGCACGAATGACGTCCGGGTTTTTGAGATCCACAATGCGCTGCTCAGAATCACCAGAGTCGAGAAAAGCCGTGATTGTCACCTCTTTTCGGCGATCATTATAGTCAACAATCTCTGAAAGCAGCCACACTTCATCCTTGTCAGGAATGTAGCACTGCACGCCTGGAACAATCAAATTTTGCTTGTTGCTAGCACCTGCAGCCTGTTGACGGAGTTGTTCTTCTTTAATTTCAAGTTGTTCATGCATAAACGCATTGCGCTTCTTTTCCAAGCTAAAGTTGCTACGACGACGTTTCGGATGAACCCAATATGTCTGACGCTTGCGAACGTAGTTTCCGCGACCTGTGGATCGCTCTATCCGATGCCGCGGCTGGAAAGGCACCGGTGTGGTAGGCGTGCGAACTTTTTGCGTTATATTGGCAGTCGGTCGCTTGCCAGCGTTTTTCAACGAAATGTTTGTCTGCTGCGATGGAGAAGGACTTGCAGTATTTGTCGCTAAGAAAGCAGAAAGCTTGTTTTGGGACCGAGGTTTTGCCGAAGCAGATGAAGTGGCTGGTTGTTGATTCATGAAGGTGTTAAGCTTGTTACCTCCCGTCGATAATGACTTTGGAACACTTGGTAGTGTTTTTGTAGCAGACACCATTTTTGCTGTGTTAGCTGATTTCGAAGGCCCCGATGGACGATCAGCGTGCGTCAACGGCGATCCGTGAGGTGCTGGCACTTGATTTAAAAAAGCGTTTAAACGATTCGCATTCGCTGCTCCACTGTCGCTTCTTGAGTATGGTGGTGCGCCTTCAGGCGACAGCATTTCTCCTCCAGTCTGAGGTGACATCGGCGGAGGCGATGATGGTGGTGTTTTTCCTGGCAAGTCTTCGCCACCTTTTTTCTTCTTTCTCGATAGAAAACCACCCTTCATAAAATTACTCAGTTTACTATTAGTTGCTTTTTTGACGGGTGAACTTTCCTGTGAGCTACCAGTAGACGTCATGGATTCTGCATCTGACACTGGGTCTTCTTCGTACTCACCAGAGTACCCTATCGTACCAAATCTGTCAAATAAAATGGAAAGTGTTTCGAGCACGCTGTCAAAGTTAGCATCAGTGTCCAGTAAGTCGTCTGGCAGGAATATATCGCTTTCTTTTAGACCTTTCTTCTTGCACCACTCGAGAAACAGTCGCGTATTAGCCTTGGAATGGAAAACCGTGTTCAGTTTATTGACCTTGAGATTGGCTTTCGGGTCAATACTGTTGGCTAATTGACACAATAATTGGCCATCACGCAGCATGTCCGAGAGATGTTCACCATGATCGTTTGATGAGGCTGTGACGCTACAGATCCATTCCTGCAATTCCTCCGCGCGGCGCACCATAATACTCTAATAGTGGCAATGAATTGTCCGGTTTTCTTTCGCTACCTGTGTCTGGTTTTTAATAAGACGAAGAGAAGGAGCTTTAACACTAGGCGACAGTCTCCTTTGGTCTCTCGTAGTAAGGCGCTAGTATGCGATAAAGTGAATGGCTCAAAGAACGACGAGTTTTTCGCACGACCCGACGGTGCAATCTGCCCACTTGACGCTTGATATACCGTATAATGGAAACTGACTCCTTTAACTGCTGCCGATAAAACGTACCCTTTTCCCTTTTGTATTCTACCAGCTGTGAGGACAGACTTTAAAATTAACGATGTGTCGACAGCATGAGGTCGTGTTGAACATATACATTCCGATAACACTTATCAGCTGTAATGTATCTACACAGTCAGCACACATGCATCGTAGAAGTCATTTAGTTGTCGTGAGTGTACTTTCGATAATTTATTCATATATTATATGCTATACCGTATGAGAGAAATTGTGCGTCGTCTACAATTACAAGATCATAGGTTTAGAACGTAATTTGTGCAAGTATGTTACACAAAACGTTCGTCAGGAAACAATAAAATTCACACAAGACACCAGCAGCATTCATGCTACGAAATGTAGGTTTTTCAAAAGGCATTATGACTGCAAGTGTCACATAAAGACCGAGGCGAAGGAGACTTTCGCTGATGAAATAGGCTTTTTAAGTTTTTGGTTTCGGCATTGAATGAATACTTACTCGAGATTAACCGCCGAAACCTCAGCTACTTGTTTGAGAGTATTCACCAAATGAACTTAACGAAAAAATGTGTGCTCAAAAGTAGCGAGCCCGTGATTTAAACCACTTAGTTATCGTCGATGACACCGACACCGAGTATTGAGTGTTATGGATGGCTTCTACCGATTTGACGCTGTCCGTAGCACGCATTGATTTAAGTGACACCACAATTGTTTCTTGAGAGCTGTACATGCACTGCGTGATTAAACGATCATCAGTGGAAACCTCAAGGTAAATCGCCGACCAATACCGCGTAGCCGCTTTTAGACATTGCCAAGCTCAAAGTTATATACCATTAATTATTCCTTTAAAATCTCTTAAAAAAAGTCGCTTTACACTCTTTAGATTATAGCAAAAGTTAATCGGCGTCTGAACAGTATGCAAGGCTAGCGACGCGCACTTACGACTGACTCAAGCTGTAAGTGAAGCCAGAGCAATGTGAGTGGCGGTTCATGATTGTGTATCTACCATAAAAATTTGTCGAACATGAAAGAAATTCCATTCCTTGTTCTGACCGGTATTCTACCTCGTTATCTTGTAAATATATTTAGCATTCCTCCTTAGACAGGCGAAATTTATTACGATTTTTACAAAGGCGTGTTATGACAAAGAGGGAATACAAATATAGATACAATAATTACCTCCCCAGGTTTTCGTGCCGAGCTCCTCGATACAGATGTATTTTTTTTCGTGAGTGCATAAAAATTTATCCTATGAAAAAAATAGCATGCTCAAATTGAAAATAACACGTAATATATTTGTGAGCAGTACCCTATTCTGAGCTTTTAATAGACATCGAAAGCATAACTCAATGCAAGACGTTTGAATTCTAATTCCTTGCATCACGGGGCACATCCCTTCGTACAAGTCTCTTTGTCAGGTTTTAATATCAATGCTATCCAATACGACCGTTTCTCAAATCCATTTTTATCAAAGAAGGTGCAGCAGTGCTGCCATGTGGGTTCCACTCGTCGGGTGCACGTTACCGAACCAGGTTTAAATACTGTAAGATTCTCGTGTGTACTTAGTACTAATCACTTGCTCAAATCAAGAATTTATAAAGTACTCAAAATTGATCCATGATGTGTTAGTGCTACTCATAAACTATGATAGCGTATTGCGTGAGATTCGCAGCTCACGTGTCCCACTGTTCAATCCTTTGTTTAACCTACACACTGTGTCTCATGCGCCGTGTAGCGCCGCTCATTATTTTTTGCAATGTTTCTTTTCGCGCAGCACATCGGGGATTAGGTACATATTTAGCCATGTAGGAGAAACTATTCATATATGCACCAAAGCACGAAAAATACAGTAAGATGCTTTGATCGACCAACCCTGCTGTTTTTCTATACAACGAAAAAGATCATCGTGTATTTGCAGTTGAGATTTCTAGAGTCCAAATTTTGGGCTTAAAAATGTTGGGACTGCTAAAGCCATATCTTCGGCATAAAGCAACTATTTTTGCTGCTCTAATATTAACCTATCTTTCAACCAGGATAGACCTGCCGGAGGAATTTCAGACTCATCGGGATGATCTTGTGCTTGCCACTTCAAAGATCTATTCTTGTCATATTTTTACTTCGAATGTTGTTTGTGAGAACGATGTGCTCGGAAGCTGCAAGATCATATCCTGAAAAAGAGAAAGTCGTTGTAGCATCGACATTGAATATTTTGCTTTATTTCAGGCTCTTATGACAAAAAAGCCCAGTATTCACGACAACAAGATAGCTCAAAAGTTTCCGTATATAGTTTATCGCGAACAATTGGTGGCCTATGAGCCGACAGCGGTGATCGCCTGGAGGTGCCCCACAAGCCATAAGAATGTGTTGGTGAATCATTTTTAAAACACGCCTTCCAGGTGTTGGAGAATGCCGTTTGTGCTCCCACGATGGGACCAAGCGTTCAGCAATTCGGGGGTGACGACGAGAGGAATCACGCTCGCTAGATCATTGCAGTTATGATGATCAAGATTTTATCGATTCTTTGGGCGGCCGTCAGTGAGTCGCGCTTAAGTTTATCAAGCAAAGAAGAAGCGCACAAAAATGGACGGTTGCTTACATATTTGCCCATTTGTAACATGGTTAGTGCTGAGGCGCTAGATGTCGAGAAGGCTTGTATAGCTTACCTAAGCGTATGGAGATGGTAAGTATGTCCAATCGGCAAAGAGAGTGATAAGCTGGCTACGTTCAAGAGCGGAATACTTTTATCGCTGTGGCAGCGATTGGCCCTCTTTTGAATTTGGTTGTACTGAAATTTTCCGATGCGACTTGAGGTCGTATTGAGATCTTCCGTTTCTAAGGAAACATTTTGAGTGCGCGAAACAAAAGTTTTTCTTAGCGCACGAGAGGGGATCAAGCTCGACCAAGTAGGGGACATCATCAGTGATCTTCTCTGGCAGCCCAAAACCATCATGGTTATTGTAGATATTTCATCTGCGTCAGATCAACTATATGTGTCCTGTGTGCTCCTTCTCCCATGGTCAGAGATATTCAGGTCGGAATTCCACGCGAGATCGTTTAACGAACCACAAGAGGTGCAAGGCAGTCAATTGAAAACCCAGATCGTGGACATGGACGTCTCAAACTTTGTGGAGCCGTGATGAATTTGGAACTTACATGCGACGTGCGACAGCAAAAAAGGCGCTAGAATTTAAGTGGGGGTGTTGAAAATACCAAACGATACCAAGCCCTGAACAGTACTCGTGTGTTATGCAACGGAAAGACCTTTTAAAGTTTTGAAGATAGTTTAGGCTATTCTGTGCAATGGCAGGTTTCTGAAAATGTAAATCGTAAGCTGGATCCACATCTTAGGTTTGAGATACAATCTGATTAAAGTTTTGGCATGGGACATCGTCACCACAAGGCTGACTTCTAAGATATGATTGTCAGATATATTGTCTCATTACGCTCAACAACAGCTTTCATTGAGTTCGAAGCAACGAAATTTTACAGTTGGTACCGAAGGAAGTTCTGAGATCATCGTTTTTCATGGATTTGTCCGTCGTTGGAGCAATCATAGAGCATTCAGTTCAAAGCGTGGGCATGTATTGATAAAGATCCTACCGATTTTTGTCTATCTGTCCTGAAGGAACAACACAACGTGATCACCAACGACGCGCCACATATGTTGCCCCTATCCAAAAAAGTGCGTCATGGGATTGACCGTGTTCTTGGAATCTACAACTGCGTCACTTTACGATGAATATACCAGGTAATCATTTTCTGTGTAATAGACATAGCCGGCTTAGTGAAAGGAAACAATTGCCCATTGCTACACGGCGCCGAGTCTATATGTCAGAAAAGTTAACGAGTTGCAGATTGTTCACCCAGCGTTCTGGTAAAGACCCCAAGATCAGCAATTAGATGTGCTGCATATCAGCATGGTTCGATGCACTTTGCCCAGGAATCCTAATTCGGATTATTTCGTGCGAGGCAGTGACCCCCCTCTCCTTGCAGTGAATCTACCGTGTGGAATGCGCTTGGAGTTACTGGTTATACCCCAGGGACTGTATAACACACCGGCAACGCTCAGACTTCCTTTCCGCAGCTATTAGAGCCACATCGTAGCTATGAACCAGCCCATTTTGACGATCTATTCGTCTAGTGGTGTGTGTAGAACGGGTGATCGGCTTTATGCATCCACAATAAATTTCTTTAGGCAGTGGCCGAAATACATGCTTTGATGATTTTTATTTGCGGCAAAGCCGCCTAATTTTAACTGTATAGATTTCCCTAAATATATAGAGTAAAGTCTAAATACATGCATACCTACTGGCTACCTATCCACATACCGTATTCTTGTTTGAGTGCAGTCACACCATGCCCATCTCGTGTGGCAAACACACCTGTTACCAGGGTACGTGTAACCTCGTTACACTCTCCCCCATTAAGATTGAGAACATTTACAGCCATAAAGGCTAAGTACCAAACAGTAGTACCCTTTCTTTGATAAGATTCTATTTGTTAGCAAATAACTTTTCATCATTAATGGGGTGCTCTCCTCATAAGCTTCAAGTTTTAGTCTGACAAGACCCGAAAACGATGATACTCTTCATGTCAATTGGCATATGACTGGTAAAAGCTCGACATATGGCAAAGGCTGAGGCATCACAGAGAAATATGGCCAGTTCAAATGTGGAACAGCTAGAATTAAGCTAATTGTGCTGTTTTTTTTAAAGTATTGAAGGTCGCCTCATTGAACATCTTTTATATTCGTACCGTGTCGGCACAACTATACTTGTATAAGAACTGGCCAACCTGCGATGACATTGATTTTCGCGGACTCTGCCTGCAAATTCTTCTCTTTAATGCCATACCTCAGAAAATTGATTGTCAGATCCAAATTCATAAATATCCCCAGTCAATTTTGGCATAGAGCATTTATTTCTCAATTTTTTTCATCTGCGGAGCCACCTATATCTAAATGTATAGGCTCTCATATCTATATAGTAAACCCAATTAAATGTATAACTACTCACGTACTGACATTGTAAAAGTGTAGCCAGACCATTGCGTGATCACACAAGATGGTGTGACCTACATCCTTTAGACCCGAGCACGAGAAACCCCATTACACTCTCCCCCATCAAGATTGTAAACACCTACAGTTCACATTCAGTGTCGCCTCGAACGAGGCTCGCGGGTCTAAGACACCACAACATCACCAGAACCTTCTTACATTTTTCTGCTCAATGAGCCCAATATCGAAGACACGGAAGACACCCAGCCTCGCTGGTCCCTAGAACGCCAGCGGGCAGAGCCCTTCTTCGTCTCCTGCACGTGGTGCAAATTTAGACAGCGCACCGCGCCTGCTACGGGCGATAAATCACCTCGTCGAGGGTTTCGGAGAAGTCAACTATCAGTCGGATACTCTTTTTTCAGGATGGGAAGAATAAGAAGGTGAGGTGAGCCGACGGCGCGACGTGAGCCCTGCTCAAAACTTGCGAACGTCTTGCCCGTTTCCGACCTCTCGGCTTCTGGAGAAAGTGGTATGGTTACCAATCGCCTCGATGAGGCACAGGAGCAACAGTTGGAGGTTGCTAGGCCCTCGTGTGGAATACGGCTTCCGTTCGGCGGAACCCCCTGTAGGAGCGAAGGACGCGATCACTCGATCGTTGGGCGTCTACATGGTCGGGTCCCCCAGCCACTATACAAGCTAAACTTGTCGAACGGAAAGCTCCCCGAGCTCGCTTCTTGAAGCCTCGAGAAATCGTACCGCGCTTGCCTTCGTGCTCAACGAGGAAGCGCTCCTGTACCCGCGATGTGGACGATTCCTGTGGTGCTCGCCCCTGGCGAAACCGCTGCCGATGACAAAAGCTCTTTCCGCGATAAGTGCAGCGTCACCGGAAATTTTTCTCGCTGTGCAACATATAATATGACCATAGGAAGGTGGACACGCGTCTGGAACGCTATCCTCGGTTTGAGTATGCCAGACTCAAGGCGCATCGCCGACTTTCTTCGGATTATCGCCCTGCGATGTATGGGCTGATCCCTCCGCTCCCACGAGCTCTGTGGTCTCTCACACGGGTAAGTCTGCGAGCGCAGCTGTACAGGGCCATAGCTTGAGCTCAGCCCGTGGCCCTTCAGCTTTCCTTGCTGTTGCCGAGCAGCGCGGGCGTACGACGACGTGATTTCTCTGTCTCTAAGCGTTTACGACGTCTGGGCTGTCTTGCAGAAGTGAAACCCCAAACTTTGACGGGTTCTTAGAGTTGGGGTATCCCTGCCATTTCACAAGATACTGGGTTTGACCCTGGCGACGACGTCAACTCTCAAGACGTTCCACGGAACAGTAAACGCCGCCATTCTCATCGAGAAGAGTCGGTGGACGACTACGACTGGGTCGATTGTCGTCCTGTGATTCGCGATGCTTGGGGATAGGTCCGTCGCGAACGAGATTTCGCTAAGCGTCATGCTGGGGTCGCATACCACTGCGCGAAAGACCTAGAGATTTTGGAACATGATGTGCACCGGTTGCCTCACGTTGAAAACTATCGCGCTCTGTCGGAGCGGCTTCTAGCGTCGCATCAGGTGAAGTTGGAGCGCTTGGCGCCGTTGGAGATGGAGATCGTTGCATTTCATGCTCAAACCCAGTCTGGTCCAGCTTCGGTGCCAACGCTTCCGCATTCACTTGCGCTGGATCCCGGTACGGCTTGAGCAGGCCCACCCAAAACACCGGGTGGATCCGCATCCGTTTCGGAAGGTTAAGCGTATACATAAGGCCCCGCTTGGCCGCAACCTTGAAAGTTCCGACGAAGCGTTAACGAAGCTTCGTCTTAGAGACAGCGGAAACTGCATGTGTAGGAAGTTTTTTGCATTTAATAAAACCATGTCTCCGACCTTAAATTTTTTCTCAATTCCTCTAACTTTTTCGTATGTGTATTTCTTTTTATGTCTTGTCTTTCAGTCATTGCATCGCGAACGTGTCGTAAGACACTCAGTCTGGTAAAAAGGAACTCATCAACTTCTTCACGCACAGTGAAAGGGACGACATCAGCTAGCCGATCGGCTATCACTCCCCTACCAAGCCCTAAAACATTGGATGGCGGCGTCAGCGGGACGCGAGGATGAATGAAGCCGTTCACGTAGGCCGGTAGACGAATGCGCTGCACTATCCAGAGCGAACTGTACGAGTAGCAGCATGGCACTCCAGCATTCTCAGCGCAGACGCTGCGAAGGACGTCTTCGAAGTCGCGATCTACGCGCTCAGTATAACCGTCGGTCTGCGGATGATCCGCTCTTGACATATCCAGCTTGGCGCCCAGCACCCTGAAGATCGTCGACCAAAACTTCTCAGTGGAGCATGGTGTTCTGGCAAAGACAATTGACTCCGGGAGTCCATGTTGTTGAAAGACACGATCCACAAACAGCGTCGCCGTATCGACACCTTCAATGGTGTCCGACACTGCCCCAAACGAACGACGAAGACTACGACACCCGTGTTGTCCACCGAGTCCTTCGGCAGACCAAGCACAAAGTCTATACTCATGGACTGCCGACACCTGGAGGGTATCGGTAAACTGGTCAGTGGCGCTGCCGCATTTGGTTAGGTTTCACCATTTGACACATCTCACACGTTTGCACATAGGTGCTCGTCCATTTGCACAGCTTGAGCCGCCAGTAGTGGCAACTCAAAGAGCTGTAGGTCTTTTCGCGACTGAGATGACCACTGATCGGAGCTTCGTTGGCCTCATAGAGGATACGATACTTCAAATTCTCATCGTGAGGAACCACGATTCGTGGCGTATCCGTCGAATCGGTGCTAGAATACAGCAATCCATTATATAATGAATATTGTTGCAACCGTGCACGCAGTCGTGAAGACAACTTGTTGCCCGAGTTTTCAAACTTCTTGCTCCCGAGAGCCTGTAGCAGCCCTACGCACATATCATCTTCCGCGTACGCGGCGCGAGTCAATCCGTCACGGACGACGTCACCGTCGTGACATGAGATAATCAGGTCTCAGCCAGAGCACTCTGCTATCCTGGCTTATATTTCACCTCAAAGTTATTTTCTGCAAAAAATGAGAGCCACCTGGCTATCCACTGCGAGAGGTGAGGCGACTGAGTCGCGGTGCTCAGTGACGTATGATCTGTGTAGATCACAAAAAGCTTTGAGCCGAACAGACGAACGCTGAACTTGACAAGTACATCAAGAAAACTCTTGTCGTGAACTGGGTCGTTCCTCTATGCAGCCTTGGGCTGACGAGATATGAACACGATCACCCAATCACGCCCCTCGGCGTCTGCTTGCAATTGTGCACAGCTAATGGCAAAGTTCGAAGAGTCACAGATGACACTGAAAGAACGATCGGGGTCTGGCAACGTCAGTATTGGAGAACTGAAAAAGATTCCCTTGATACCGTCAAACTCCAATGCTCGGTGTCCCAATATCATTCCGCATCTTTTTTAAGGAGATTTGACGATGGCCGTGCCATTTTCGCATAATTCGCGCTATACTTGTGCAAGTAGTCGGCAAGGCTAAGCCACTTGCACAAGTTATTTTGGCTCGTTAGAACCGGCCAGTCCACAACGGCCTTGACCTTAGCGGGATCCGTTCGAAGGCCACGCTTCTATTGAAGCATCATGAAATGGAAATTTATCCGGCGCCGAGGATGCACTTATCTGCATTAGCATACAGCTTATTCGTGCGCATGCACTCGAACACTGCTCCTAAATGGGCGATGTGGCTCTCTTATCTGTCCCCCGA